GACAAGTTATCTAAGGAATTGATTTTTGATATATTAGCTGGCCATTTCATATAAGTGGTCATCAAATGCCCCCTGAAAAATCTGGAATATTCGTAAAATTTGTTGCTTCGTAAATTTGATCCAAGTAAGCCTTGATTTGTTTCTGCAACTATATGGAATGTAGTAAAATGGTGGTTTTTTATATAGGGGAAATGAATGTAATGTCGGCCTAAATGCCCCTAATTTGGACCCATATATAAATTTAGCAATCGACTAAATTTTAAATAGTGACCAAAAATATCCATTATCCGTCCCAATGACGCGTTCATCTAGATTAGATTTTTAGCGATGAGCCCAATCTTAGATCCATATACCAACATTAGAGCCATTTTCCCTATGCTTCTTCTATCGAAAATAACCGACCGTGGCGATTCAAAGTTGATCAAGGTTGATCAAAATAATTTGTACCCCTGCTTCCAATTTGATTACATGAGCATTTTGTGGTTCTGAATATGGACAAACAGGCAGATGAATTCTATTGCTACTCTTTACTGTAATAAGCTTGGTGGCCCTGAAAAGAGCCGTTTTGTTGCCAAAGTTGGTGATGATTTAACTTCCGAAACCTGTCACTTCAAAACGTAGATGACATCCATGACCGCTTACGCTTGGCGTGTTTAGTGTAGGTGACAGCATCACGGATCTCATTTTTCAGGAACACCTTCAACACACCTCGTAAATCAGACCGGAGATACGTCAGACACCGCCACGGCGAGCCAGACGACGGATGGTGGTTATCTTAAAGAATTTGCGTTTGGTTCTGAATATAGCGATGAGTGTGCAAAATATTACGCAATTCCATCCTTCCTATTCGCACGCGCCCGAGGATCGGAGGCGAATGCCACTTCGACTTGTTTCGTCTACTTACTACTCTCTGACGACTGTGCCGGGGAAGCAGCATATGCCTGTAGGTAATTGGTGGATTTGCTAGTTAATTCGACGCTTTTGTACAATGCTGGACATTTACCAGTTTTTCAATAGTTTCTTGTTGAAAATCAACATTCGGAAGCGTAGCCATATTTCTGATCGATTGGTGATAAAATTATTGAAATTGGACCAGGGGCAGCTGAGTTATTAACGTTCAAAATCTTTCTTAATTTGTTACATGTTCCATTTTCGGTTTTCACAAAGTGTACCCCCATATAGAAATCAAAGACTTAGTCCTACGTCAAAATCGAGAAAAATCAAAGAAAATCCGAGAGGAAACCCCATAACGAACTTTTTCAAAGGGTCAACTACGCTATAAATTAAGGAAAATCAATATAAATACTTGCAGGCCTGCTGGGGTGAGAGGTAATCTCGCTTACCACTACACCACCTGGTCGTGCTGACGTTGGACAAAGCTTGTGCCAATAGGGGAAACGCTAGAAGCGTTAGGTTCCATGGCATGGAGACTCAATACACAACTATAGGAACCTAACCCTTCTAACGTACAGCAACTATAGGAGCGTTTACCCTATATGTGATGCGGAGCCTAGTAAGTTGTGGCATGGGTGGTTGGGGCATATTAGCCAGCATGGAATGGACGTTATGACCCGTGAAGGAATGCTGAACGGAATCAATAAATCGACTCCAGTCGGGTTTTGTGAAGTTTGTGTGCAAGGGAAGCAGTGCCGTGAACTGTTCAACGTATCCATTCCGAAGTCTGCGGCCTAATCGACCCTCCAGCCAGGGATGGTTACAGGTACATCATTTCGTTCATCGAAGACTACAGCCACTTTGCAATGATCTACCTGTTGAAGAAGAAATCTGGCGTGTTCGAGGTATTCCGTGAGTATGAAGCCACACCAGCATTCGGGCTGTCGATTTCGAAGATGACCGTTGATCAATGAAGAGAATACTGCTCTAACGCCCACAAGCAGTACTAGAAGCAAAAAGGCATCCAGTAGTAAGTAACCGTTGCTTACACGCCGCAGCAGAACGAAGTCACTGAGAAATTCAACGGGACTTTGGAGGAGACGATTCGTGCTATGCTGATTGATTCGAAAGTGCCGGAAAATCTCTGGTCCGAGGCAGCATTGGCGTGCGTGTACTTGTCAAACAGAAGCCTGCTGAAATTTTACCTGCTGAAAGATGGTATGGTTCGAAGGCTTATCTGAACAAGCTGTCTGTGTTCGGCTGCAGATGCTTTGCGTGGGTCTCAAGTCAGCAGCGGAAGAAGTTGGATCCAAAGAGTCGTGAGATGATTATGATCGGTTGGCTATCAGCTGTGGGACATGCAAACGCGCGAAGTGAAAACTGCTCGGGACGTGAAATTTGATGAAGGTTTGGTCCCGTATGCCCAGCTGAAGCCAAGTCAAGATGTCCCGTTGGTGATGAATTTCTCTTTGGAGCAAGAAGGGGAAGCTACAGAAAATGAAGCTATTCCTGACATTCCTGATGATGAAGCAAGCAGTTCCGGTAGCGATTAGGCAGCTGGCTACTCGATCAAAAACTACGAGGAAACATTTGCTCCAGTGGCGAAGCAAAACTAATGGAGATGGCGGATTGCAAACCAGTGAAATCTCCAATGGAAAAAGGAACCCAGTTGACTAGAAAAGGAGAACTAACAAGCCAACCCTACAGGGAACTTCTCGGATCGTTTATGTACTTGATGCTGTGTGCTATCCAGTAGGGTTCCTATGACGATTCCAGCAGAAGCCGAATCCAATCTGCAGAACCATTGGTGGGCTACGTGAATGCAGATCGGGCCTCTGATATCGAGGACCGTAAGTCGGTAAGTGACATCGTCAAGCGAAACTGAATACATCGCCCTGAGCTCTACGGTATCAGAAGCAGTTTGACTTTCTGGTATCCTAGAAGACTTGAAGCTGAAGATTCGTAAACCGGTCATAATGTACGAGGACAACCAAGGCTGCATTGGGATGGCCAAAAACTGTGAATCCAAACGGTCGAAGCTTATTGATGTGAAGCATCAATTTATCCGGGAGCACATTTCAAACGGATGCGTGAACCGGTCGCATAGACAAACTTTGAAAACGTTTTGGAATAGTGGATTGAGAAGGGACGTGCTATCCATCCTAATAAAAATAACCATAAAAGAGAGCTTAACGACGTGTTCGGGGTATCATCCAAACCATTTATGGGATAGTTTACCCATTCGGGATACAGTTCGTTTAAGGTATTTGTTTATTATGGCAAGTAGCAATCGGCTATACTGGTTGCTCAAACCACTCTGCTTAGCAACGCGTGTTCCCTAGCAACTACTTTGTTAGAGGACTAACTGTTCTAACTCCTAACGTACAAACCTTTCTAGTTTTTTTAGCACAAGGAGTTCTCCCGTTTTTCTTTCGAGTCCCGTTCCGGTAACCGATATGGTAACGTTCTTACTATATTTAACTGCAGTGGTGAACCAGCCAAAGGCTGAAAGGCTCTTTAATATAGAAAACTAACTAACTTACTAACATATTTAACTATTTGTATGGAACCGGGGGAAAGGTATGTTGGGCAGCCGTTAAAAACCGGGAAAAATCAAGAAATTTATTTTCTTAAATTCAGTGGCTACCTTGGATAACCACTACTCCGGGGCCGTTCCTATCTCCCCCTTCCTAAAGGACGAACGTCGACGAACTGTATATTTTCAAGCTAATTAGTGTTAAATTATTTTCATGATGATCGGATTACTTGCGAAACAACAAAACCTACTGGGGCGACCCCGGTGTGGTGGTTAACATCCATACCTCTCACGCCAAAGTCACGAGTTCAAATCTCACCCAAGAGCAAGGAGCTATCAACTCTGCACACTGTGCCGAAACACAAAACAACCGTGCCGAAAGGACAAACGTTGACAAGTAGGATACAGTCGACATAATATAAAACGGTATCACTGTCGAGAGTTGACGTTTTGCCAATCGTTGCTAAGGTTGACCTCTTTGTTTACTCCATTGGGCTTCACATTGGGTTCGGATTCCAAGGAAAAATGCTGTGAACATTGCCTGCACCTGTCTGCACCATGAAACTAATGTGAATGTATGTAATCATAATTTACGATACGACAGGCTTGGGTGATGTCTTCGAGGTTGCGTAGTTCTGAGTCGATCAGAACTGTTTCGAGGATATTGCTTCAAGGGGGGAGTGAACTTTCGTCCGTTCGAGTTCTGGGTTTGATTTTGTCGGGGAGCATTTTACTGGCAGTTGATGAAAATTTCATCCACCGTAACGTTTCCGTATAAGTTGTATTGCTTCCAGTTACTCTTCCACTGCCCAATCCGCTATCATTCTAATGAGAATGAAGCTTAATATATGTCATGGGTTAGGTTATCTTTATAAGCGAGACTTTCAGCCAGAGGCTGGTTCATCTCTTATATTTGCCATGAACCATGATCATGAATTAGATAACTTGAAAATGTAAACACAATCACAAAAGTCTAACTTTAGGGTTGCCAAACTCATGGGATATTGACACCTTGATTGATACACTTCGACCTACTTCGGAATGATCGGCACAACACAGATTTAGGTGTGCAGAGTTGAATAACCCTTGCCCAAGAGAGTTAATGTGACTATAAAAAACATAGCCTAATTAAATTTCCCGTTTATTTTGATGACTTTTTGATTAGTTCAGAATAAAAAGATTATTTTGAAAATAAACGCATTTGCTACCGGTCATCTTCCAAACTTGGCAGAAACCCCTCGTAAAATAAGATATTTCAATAAAATGTACACCTATTAAACTTAAGTTGAAGGCTGAACACAAATAAAAATAACCAACGACCGATCAAAATATAAACACTGTGATATAAAACGATACAACTTTTAGCAGAACATCCTTCATCCAGCTCGCCGTTGGTTGTAATTTTCCGCCCAAAAAGAAAACCTCTCCGGGAAACGTGGAAAAACTCGAACGCTTCAAACACACAACAAACGCTTCATAATCGTAAACACACAACTTTACCACGTGGGCAACCGCTGGCCGTCCGTCGCGCACATGTCAAACATCAGCACAAAAATAGCAGAATCAGAACTTTTGCATTCATTCATGCAGACGCAGGCAGCTGCATCCAATAAAAAGTGATTTTTCACATATTTATTAACCGAAAACCAACAAGCTGTAATTGTGCGATAGAACTAAAATTAAGTTGTGAGTGATACCGGACACTGAGACATTCAAAGTGCAAGAAGTCGGTGCATTGCAAGGCAATGTTTGCTCGCTGCGAACGTCCTCCACCACCAAGGATTGAGAATTATTAGATCGTCCCACCTTCGGCTTCGACCGTGGAGTGTCGGAGCGCAAGAATGCAAGCGGATGCACTGGTTGCATCCAAAATGAGCGTGGCAGAAAGATCCGGTTCGATTCCGTCGGCAACCTACAGAATGAAGCAAGAACGCAAGCTGGCCGTCTGTTACGTGTTTGTTTACATTTTCTGCCTGCAGATCATTACGACAAACACCCGTACATCCACCCTGTGGAAGCTCAACTCGGAACAGGGGAAAATCGTCAGCGTTCCGGCTGGTGGTGCCGGCGGAGCTGGAAGGGTTCGTCCTCGTCGATTGGTGCTCTGGCTAGAACGTGAATTGAAATTCGGATTTGTTTTTTTTTCTGTTTGCAGGATGAGTCACTGTCTGGATACAGTGTGGAAGAACTGGCCATTCGGGGAGAATCTTTGCATCCGGATGAACCCGACGAGGACGAGGAGTCCACGTTTACCATCATAACGGCGACGGCAGCCAACTATCATCACAACACCTGGAACCGGGGCGAGGGAACGACGGAGGAACTGCTGCGACGGTTGGCAGAAGAGTAAGTGCAAATTGCTTGCTTTCGTCGTTCGTTTATTGCTTTTTGCGCTAACATCTGTCGTGCAGATGTAGGTACCTATTAATTTGAATTTTGTTTTCGACTTGTTTTAGACCTACGGAGGCTTACCTTGCTGATGCGAAAGCATCGATTAAGAATGCGAATGGGAGCAATAGCAACAACAACATCAACAGTGGATCAACTGGTTCCTCGTCGCAAGCCTCGGCTAGCCAACGGTCGTCAGTGGAATCGAAGGTTCCTCCGGAGGATCTCCTAACCTGTGGTAAACCGGTCAATTTTACCCACTACGATGATCTGGTCGGCGTGGCCCAAAGGTACGAACACAACCTCGCTCCGGAACCGGAAGTGGCGTATCTGTTTCTCAAGCGGAAAGCCGGGGGTCAATCGTTGGAGCATTTCAACATCGACGCCCTGGAGCGACGGTTGCGCCGGGCCAAGAAGGAGCAACCGCACACGATCCATCTGTGGAACCAAATTGGGAACTTTTGGCGCATCAAGGGAGACGCCGGCCATGCGATCGAGTGCTTTCGCCGGGCTCTATCCATTTCGCCGACCAATGCGGACACGTTGCTCAACCTGGCGCGGGTACTGTTCAATCTGCAGTACCTGGACGATGCTATCAGTTTGACCAAGCGGTAGGTGGTTGTCAAGAAGTTTGAAGATGGGTGCTTGTTTTTCGACGCCTTTTGTTCGATTTGTAGGTCCCTGGAGGTGCACCCACCGGATCGCAGTGCCTGGAGGCAGTACTTTACGCTGGGGGAGATCTTCAAGGCGTACGGACAACTGTCGGACTCGATACTGCACCTGAAGCAAGCGTTGGCGCTGCATCCGCACTACGAACCGATCCGACGGTTGATTGCCGAAACGGAGAAGATCGAGTTCGCGTCCAACACAACCCGGATGCAGTTCTACACCGGGCTGATCATCGTGGTGCTGGTAAGTTGAGCCTTCGTTTTGTAATATCCTTTAGGATGTTACCGTTCATTTTTGTCCACAGTCCCTTGTCGTGCTAATGATGGTGACGGTCATGCTCAAGTCAAGGACGTCGAACCATGGTCACTGTGCCAGTTCCAGCAGCATCAGCATTACCAACCTAACCAATGGCACCCTTGGTGAAGGTGGCGGCGGCGGCGGCGAGGAGGACGATAGTGATAACAATAATAATAATAATAATAACCACAACAACGGTCGATTGGGACCCATCATCAATAGTTTCTCGTTGGCGAGCTTCAGACCAGCCAAACACTTCAACCGGGCTCAAGCGATGCGTTCCTTGCGGAGTGTGGCCTTCCGCTCGTTTCGACCGTTCCGGTACCGTAAGTAGATGCCTGAATGTTCAAATTACACACAAGATGACAACAAACACACAAAGTTAGACATTAGCAGAACAGAGAAAGGAAAAGAAAGAGCAAACAGCTACTAACTAAGCATAAAACTATTTATTATTTCCTTCCTACGATTGAACGTAATATCTCCTATCATTATTGCGGCGCGGAATGCCGCCAAAGAAAGTTGGCATTCCTGGCGTGTTAGTTTTAAAACAAACGAAAACAAGTCAACATAAGAGAAACTCGGAATACTCCTTTTAATTACGACTAGATTTTAAAACCCGGAAATGGCGGCCAACACGAGCCACCGCAGCTTCGTTAGAAATTTAGGCAGTGTGTTGATTTTCGCTGTGGAGAGAACTGAGTCAGATTTACTTACACTTACTTACATTAAAAACATGGTTTTACTTAACCTTTCGCCGAAGCTTAATTTTCAACGTGAGAGTGAATTACTTTGTAGGATTTAGGTAACAGAGAAAAAAAACATATGCATTGATGTGTTCGTGCACTACTACCGTAGAAGTGGTTGTGCTGTGTTTAGGTTCGAAGGAGGAAAGTCGTTTGTTCGTTCGATTTTTCTTCCCAACCGTGTTTGCGTAAATTATATGTGATAACAAGCTATCTTTTTAATATTTTGGAGAAAAGCTACTACCTTAAACAGAAAAGTAATAATTTTAATGATTTGTTTTATAAATCGTTTCCTATTGATGTAGTTTTTTAGTTAGGATTAGAAAAAGCACAAATTCTGGAGGTGTTTTGAATTTTCTCGAATTTTATTTTGTAGTGCGTCTTTAAGGTAAGATATCAGAAGTTTAGGTACATTCTAGCATTCGAATTTTGAGTTACATCCCAAATTTTCAGGTTTTTTTTTGTGAGAGATCATAATTTGCTGAAGCCAATAATGACACTTGTTCAGGATTCCATTGAGCGCTTTATTGAAAATTTTACAAACATTGTCGAATTTTCAATAACTCGCTAAATATTAAACAGAAACTTTAAAACTGTGAAACCATCGCCATTGGCTTCAGAAAATGAAATTCCTTTAAGAAAACTAAATATGATACCTAGTTTGAGATGAGACAGTTCTATTAGTGTGGAAATTCCTTGATATGGTTGTATCAAATTGATAGAACAGTACTGCGAGAGTATCGAGTATCGGAATATCAAGTTTTAAGTGTTTAACCATTTGCAACAATCTACAAATAAATAGTGCTCTTGCTACGGTTAATCGACTAGTAAGTCAAACTGTTTTTAGTGTTTTTTTTTTGTTGATAGAAGATACTGAGAAGGAAAGCATACATGATCAGCAGGACACGTGTGTATGGGGAAATTTACGGCAACCGGTGGGCGCATTACCCCAATTATACTACGGGTACCGATAGCAACACGTAATACACGACTAATGATGTTAAGGCTATCAAATTCATCATCCGGAGTACCACACTTAATTCGCAAACGTTCTACACACTCGTCTCCTGCTAATCGTGGCTGGTTGAAAATTACAATTTCCATAAATACGCCGTATATATATATTTTTGGGTTACCTTAGGTGTCGTCTGTTTCACGCTAATTTTTTGCATCTTCGAACGAGTTAAAATTTTCCCTGTAACCGACTTCATAAGGCTGGACAGTAATTGGTGATAAAGCGAAAGGATATTCATTTCTCAAACGCTCTTCGTTATGCCGCTTGAGTAAAAGAAGGCGAGACGCATATCATATAGGGCAAGGTAGGGCAAGATGGGTCACCTATTTGATTTTTTGTCAGCATCAACAGACTCAAACAAGGTCAACATTAGAAACACTAGAATAAGAGACCAGCGGAGAAAAAACAACATGAATTTGGCAACAAGATAAACATCAAAGCAATCCTGGCATTACTTGCATTTGTAACTGCTTGCGAGTGACTTCACCAATGCACCGACGAGCGAGTTCATGAGTGATTGTTAAACGATTTTAATACTCCTCCCTAATTGAAGCAAATCATTTGTAAACATTGCAGATTGGAACCGCTTTTGACAGTTCGATTGGAATCATAACAGTGTCTCCGCTGGTCTCTTATTCCAGTGTTTCTAGTCAACATTGGATTGAAAAAGCTAACCATAATTGGGGTTGCATGGAACCCAATAAATTTTTAAAATTAAGAAAATTTAATTTGTGTTCTCTTTTATTATTCAGTAACATCATGCCGGCTTTCCTTTTTTTACCATATTTAGCTAAAGGGGTTTTTTTAATGCGTTTATTTTTCCAGGCTCATTTGCCGTAGCTTTGCGGAGCCGATATTCATCGTTTGGGTTACAAAATTACTTAAAACTAACGTTAGTAAAGTGCGGGCCGATTACTCGCGGCTATCCCGAGGTTAGGGGTAACAAATTGTAACAAGGTGGCAGGGTAGGGATTGAGAACACAAGGTTTTTTTAGAGCAATGTGCTCTTGATCTAGAACTAAGCGACATACTGGAGAAAAAGACAAACATGGGGGTACACCGATGGACACCTAGCAACTTGAGAGAACACAATATGACACTAACTACTAAATCCTCAGATCGATCCGTTTTAAAAACACATAAATTAAATTAAAATATTCGAGATCTCGGCTCGCCAAGATGTCTCTAAAGGGCCGCAAAGGGTGTTTTCCTCGGGCCCTGAGGGATGCGGATAACTCGGATCTAGCAACACAATGTAGGGTGCATGACCAAAGTACGTGGTCGATATCGTGATAGCCACTACCACAAGCGTAAGTAAAAAAAAAAAACTACCACAAGCGCACAAATTGCTGCCTGCGAGTCCGATTCGGAAGAAATGCGAGTCTAACGACCTAACGAGTAGTGATTAGACATGAGCCTTGACATGACACGTATAAAGTCACGGCTCATGTCCATTCCTTTGAACACGCAGAAAATAGTTTTTTTAATTTCAATGATATTATGTATTAAAAACAACAACAAAAATTATCATTCCCCGGCTAATAACTTTTTTTATTGAATTCAACAATAAATCTTTATTGTTCGGACACAAAATATTGTTGTTTTCAAAATCTGTCAAACACGCAATTAAAAATATATTTTGTTGAATTTACAATATTTATTTTCAAACAGACAAAATCTTTTTTTTTATAAAAAAAATAAAATATATTGCTATACTAACAATAACTTTTTTTTTTATTTAAAAAAATTTGCTCGAATAACAATTTATTTTTAATAATTTAAAATAAAATTGGTTTGGCATTAATATTTTAATTTTTAATTTTAGCAGTTTTTCTATTCGACAAATAATTTTCAATAAATTTAAAAATTGTTTTTGGTTTCTTTTTCTATTTATTAACAAACGGTACAAATAGTGATTCAATAGGTTTATCAATTATATGAAGAATACTGGAATTATGACCTCTCATTAACGGTATGTAATTTAATAGTCTGCGTTTCGAAACGGGCAACGTTTCCACGGTGTATTGATTTGCTGGAAATGGGGAAATGCAAATACTGAATTCCTTACAAAGAAAGCAATTGACAACTTGTTCAAAAAGAACTTCTTCCGACGAGACTGGGAAGCCGAGCATGCGCAAGCATTGAAAACACACACATACATTGACAAAATGAGCCTGTGTATGTTTTGGAAAAGTGTTGCTTTTAAATTTACAATATATTTTTAAAAAGTAGTTAAAATAATAGTTGAAGGCAAAAATATATTTTATTTAATCTACAATATATTTGTTTTCAGAATTTGCAATGAAAACAACAAAAAACATTTTTGAAGCTACAAAATATAAATATTGAATTCAAAAAAAAAATATATTTGACATTGCAAAATATTTCAATAATATTTTTTTTTTGGTTCAATAAGGTCAATTTTCTCTGTGTGAACCATGGCTTGTTCGATACCTTTGGGAGAATAGAATGTAACCATCTTCCCAGATCACTCTCATTCCATTTTTGGTGACGACGTGCTGACGGGTAATTGAAAAAAAATCCGCAAAGGCGATTTGTCGATCAAAAATATCGCCTTCCATAGCGCCCACCTTAGCTAGCGAGTCCGCTTTCTCATTACCTGGAATTGAGCAATGAGATGGGACCCAAACTAAAGTGATAGTATAGGAGCAGTTAGATAAAGTACTCAATTTAGCTCGGATTTCGGTCAGGAAATACGAGGTGTGCTTCATCGGCCTCATTGATCGAATAGCCTCCAACGAGCTAAGGCTATCAGTAAAAATAAAATAGTGATCAGATGGTAGTGAAGCAATTTGCTCTACTGCGTAGAATATGGATGCTAGTTCCGCAACGTATACGGAACAGGGTTTTTGCAGTTGATATGAGGCGCTATGAAATTCGTTGAATACTCCAAATCCAGTGGAAGCGTTTATAGTTGACCCATCTGTGAAAAAACTTTTATTGTTACTAACATGGTGGTATTTGTTTGCAAAAATTAAGGGAACAACCATCGACCGATGGTGATCTGGTATTCCACGGATTTCTTGCAACATGGTCAGATCAAAATTTACAGAGGAACTATAAAAGTCTTGGAGGCAAACACGAGAAGAATTGAATGAAGAAGGACCAATCTCCAGCGTCATGTACTCGTAATAGAGACTCATGAATCTTGTTTGAGGATTTCTGTCCAGCAGCTTCTCAAAGTTTTCTATTACCAATGGGTTCATTACTTCACAACGGATAAGAAACCGGAAGGACAGTTCCGCGAAACGATCTGTCAGTGGGAGAACACCCGCGAGTACTTCGAGGCTCATCGTATGCGTCGAGTGCATACAGCCAAGCGCGATTCGGAGACAACGGTATTGAACCCGTTGCAGCTTCAGGATATGTGTTTTTGCCGCGGATTGAAAACAGAAGCTACCGTACTCTAGAACCGACAAGATGGTTGTTCGATACAACCTGATCAGATCTTCCGGGTGTGCTCCCCACCAAGTTCCAGTAATTGTACGAAGAAAATTGATTCTTTGTTGGCATTTTTGTTTCACATACGCAATATGTTTTCCCCACGTGCTTTTGGAATCGAACCAGACACCTAAATACTTGAAAGATATACTTTGAGTTATTGTTTTGCCCATTAGCTGAAGCTGTAACTGTGCAGGATGATGCTTCCTAGAAAAAAAACAACCAACTCAGTTTTCTCCGGAGAGAATTCGATACCTAGCTTCATAGCCCAAGTAGACAAATTGTCTAAGGTATCTTGCAATGGTCCTTGCAGGTCCGGTGCACTTGGCCCTATAACGGACACAACCCCGTCATCTGCAAGCTGCCTTAGCGAGCAATTTTCATCAATACAACCATCAATGTCTTCAATGTCTCCCCCAGGGCTTAAACATGAGCCCTGGGGGAGACCCATGTAACTAATTCGTGAAGTTGTCGAGTTTCCATGAGAGAAGCTCATATATTTCTCAGCCAACAAGTTGCTCAAATAGTTGTTCATAATTGGTGAAAGCCCACTATCGTGGAGTTTATCCGAAAGGACATCGATACAAACAGAATCAAAAGCCCCCTTAATGTCCAAGAAAACTGAACCCATTTGCTGTTTTTGCGCATAGGCCAGTTGAATTTCAGTTGAAAGCAACGCAAGACAGTCGCTCGTTCCTTTGCCTCTCCGAAATCCAAATTGCGTATCTGAAAGTAAACCATTCGACTCGACCCATTTGTCAAGACGAAAAAGAATCATTTTCTCCAACAATTTCCGTATACAGGACAGCATCGCGATGGGACGGTACGAGTTATAATCCGACGCGGGTTTACCGGGTTTTCGAATGGCGATAACTCTTACTTGCCTCCAATCATCCGGAACAATGTTGTGCTCCAGAAATTGATTGAATAAGTTCAACAAGCGTCTCTTCGCGACATCTTGAGATAGCTAAGGGGTGTCCACTAAAAAATGAGAATGAAAAGAATGAACTTAAGTCTTAAACAGGCTTGCAATTGCTCATTACAGCTAAAATGCTATTTTTCGGAATTACGAAACAATGAGATACTATAATGATAATTTTTATTTGTAAGATGCAAGAAGAGGTGGTAAAGTTTGTGTATGACATATAAAATTTGTCAATTTTGCTTTCAGAAGGTCACAACTAGCGATTTTATGATCACTGATTGCTCGCTCATCGCGTTGCTCATCGTTACAGACTCTTAAAACTGAGCTTAGTGAATATTGGCATACTTTACGTGGTCCGCCGTGCGGTGCAGCTTAGTCATGATATTGGAACATGACCGTTGGACGGCTGCCACATCGATTTTCCGGAGGCAGCTTAGCATCCTGTTGGTGAGTTGCTTGGTGCCCTTGGCCTTCCAATTATCCTTGTATAACATGGAGCTCAATAGACCGA